CAAGACTGATGGTGCCCTTTCATTGCTGCGCCTCAAAGGATACCGGCATTACCGAGCGCTCTAGCTCATACTTGGATCTATATCCGGCTTCCGCTGTTCCAGCTTCAACCGCTAGTCCCAACCTTACGTTCGACTATTCCCTTCGGATCAATTAAAACCTCGGTGCAATAAACAAGCTCACGAAATTTGATATTCAGGGCGCGGAACAGGAGATGGCAGTCTGATCACCCAGATGGCTCCAATTGCCCATTGGATTTCCCTATGGATGAGCAGTGTTCATGGCATCTACACTCTACTCGAAAACCGCCCATGAATGGATCCCAGCTATCCCTGGCTCCTCCTTCCAGAAGAAGCCGCATAACTGCTCGTCTCGGAGATCGTCGCCCTGCCACGTCATCAGCCACACGAAATGGCAATAGAAGCGCCTTGCACGCCTCAATAGCGTCTCAACAGAAGGGGTCAGCCCGTGCAATTTCAGCTAGACGCCTAGCAGACTCACGGAACTGTAACCCTCAAGATCATTGCCCTGAAATGCCCTAGCTGTAAGCACGGTTTCACTGGAGGGTCACATGAGGCAGATTTGGCCAGGCTGTCATCCGTGGGATAGCCATGCAGGCAGTATTGCCATGTACTCGCCCAGTCTGCACTTGCCATTGATTAGTGGAGCCTGCGACTGCATGACTATTTGCATGACGGCAGTGCGCATTCAGACGTTACATACAAACCGAAGGAAGGGGCTAGAATGACCTCTTGGCCCAGCAGGAGCCTGTTTGGGCGCTAGCCTACCCACACAGTTCGGTCCACGCCAGCTGGAGCCTGAAGTTTGAGCCCAGGTTACGGATGAGAGCCGAAATTTGGGTCTCGGAGTCGCCGGCGAGTGGAGAGCCCTTGCTAGTAATTAGCTCTCAGACCAGCGAGGGGGCGAATCAGACGGAACAGCTATCTACAGGCTCGTACGATTCTTAGGCGGACTCTGACAAAAAGGGGGATGCGCTTCCTACGGCATGGTCTCACTCCGGGGAGCTGGCGTCACCAATTCTCAGTGCCTGGACGATCATCGGCTGAATACCTGCTCACGGCTTCTTCCGACAGCTGAGTGCCTTCTGCATTGGTGGCTGTGCGAACTCGTGCGTGAGGAGTGTGCAGTTATGGCCTACTTAAACCTCTGCTTTCCCGCTTCTTCTAAACCCTCAGGACAGTCTAAGGACCAATGCCAGCGATAACATCATTTTTTAGTACAATCCTTATAGCCCAGTCGCAACGCTCTCTCCAATTCATATCTTATACGGGGCCTCCAAATCCGAAGCCAACACCTCGACGTATCCATTTGAAAAAAGTCCCACCCAACGACAACGAATACCTCAAGATCAATGAGTTTCTAGCCATGGAGCCTGATTGGAACACCGAGGCGGGAATAGAGAGGAGCTCGCCCGAAACCGGCTGACAGCCGGGCACAACGAAGCGTCAGCGTTCCGCGGCAAGGACTCGAATGCGCTCCGCGCTGTAAGCGAATCACTATCTCACCAGTAACGATGGCGAGGCGCAGGATGTCGTACCACGCAGGGGCTCGCCGTTCATTACGAAGGCACAGCCTCGGAAGATTGAGAGGGTGTTCGATTAAAGTAAGCGTCTACCATTTGCGAATACCGGTCCTGTCTGACAGTAGCAAGGGATTCTCAGCGCTCAAACCCGCAAGCAGGGCCGGCAATGGTGAAAGTGAGAGCGATAGAGAAATCATGCCTGGAATTGGAGCGACACGCAATCGGTTCGAACATGAAAACACGATGATTCGGTCTGTGCTATTGCCAACAAGCGGCACAGTCGTGGATCAAAAAATCATCGAAGCTGCGCTTTGCAGCTGCCTCAGATGCTACGAAACAGAAGCAACTGCCTTCCCTGCGTCCTTCGCGAAAAGCACAGCCCACCACCGGTATTATTGAGGTACGGTACGGTGACGCTACTGGTGCTGAGAATAGCAGCGACAGCGCAAAACAACATCACAACAGCCCCCTGCCAGCGGAGCGGCATAGTCGAATGTCAAGCACGACAGTGAAGTAATGTACTGGGGGCACTGGATTCTCGACAAAGAAACAGAACCCTCTCTCCTGCAGTAAATTATTCTCCAGTCGTCTTTCCGGCCCAAAACTGCTCTTAGCCGGGCAGCATAGAGATCATGGTACCAAAAACTGCTTTAGTGCTGACGACAGCGACGACAAACAACGAGAGTGATGATGTACCACCACCTGAGCCCGTGGATGTTGATGGACAACTCGAATACTACGTTTGTGGAAGATTGAAGACCTACGCTTGAATAAGCGTATGCGCCGACACGAGTATCTAGTCAAGTGGACTGGTTATGACGGCCGGACCTAGGAACAAGCAAACGCGTTTGCTTGTACTGCTGCGACAGAAAAGTACCACACCCAACAACCGAATCAACCCGACCCTAACCGACCCAACTAGACCTATGACTGAAGGGGTATCCGCGGCACCTATAAGGGGGTACTTTCAGTATGCGACAACCATTTACCACATGACTGAGCGAAGTTGGATTTGACAGCGTTAGGAGGGAAAGATAGTGATAGCAGTGTTGCACACGGCTTGTTGTTTTAGGCGCTGAATGTGGATGGATGTAGGTTAGTAACATGCCTCGATCGACATCCGGAATGAAAGTATGGTGCCTATCGTACTACAGTGCAGCGTCCGAACGACGCGCGGAACGTGCTTGAACGCTGCTCGTAGCAAGAGAAGTCTTAACAGCGAGAGAGCAGGCACTTACACCGAGGCCTTAATATTGCAGCTAGTGCGCAACTTGAGCACATTCTGAGCCGTGACCTGTTCAAGCCGGCTCAAAGAGCAAAAGAGAACAATCAAGGAGATCATTTGCTCTATCAAATATATCTTCGATCGCTTGCAACGTCACCACTGCTCATAATGATACTTTCAACGTCTGCTTCCGTCAAATGCAGACTACAGCGCCCGTTCAAACGAACCGGCAGAGCAGAAACGTTCGCTCTTTGACAATCGCTTATCTTTCGGCCACAAGCTGTATCCATCATATCTATTGCGCGGGTTGCAGCACATTGTAAACCGCCCGTAAGGTCTAAAGCACTTCTTCCTCCTTTCGATCCGTTACCTACCGGCCGACCAGAGATTTCAATACCTCCCTGTTTACTTCGCACAGATGATCGTCGCGCCGACACAGCTTATACCTTTCCTATCGCCAAAGGAGAAGAACTAATAGACACTTTGAAGAGTTATGCTTCAAGGATGACGTCCATCAACGGCAGCGAGTATGTTGATGCATTTCAAAGATACGTTAAGGAATTGCACAGCGAAGAGATACCCTTACCACCACCGATACAAATTCATGAAGAGAGGTACTGTTGAAAAAGGATCAAAAATTCCAATACTAGACGTCCTTCGGCCTGGTAAAAAGAGGGACGAAGGATTGAGCTGCGCCTGCGGCAGGGTCAATCATTCATCGACATGGAGACAATCTTTCAGAGAACTGCATTGTTCATTGCTCGAGAAGCAGATCGCATCCTAGGGAAGGATGAGGTCCGAAAGCTGCTCAAGCAGAAAAAGAGGGGGGAGTGGTCGTACAACGAAACCCAAGAATTGATGGCGCTACGGAAGGGAGGGCTTCCGCTCACAACTCTCGCAATGCAGCTACGGAGAACGACACAAGGCGTACGAAAACAACTTCGAGAATTGGGAACGACATTAGCAGCACCAGATGATGCCCAAGGTCCTCAAGAGCTGCCGCCGGGGTTGCGAGAGTCCCTCTTCGACACTCGATTGAGAGCGATTTGGCGAGCACTCCTAAAGTCTGATATGGCGCAGAGTTGGAAAGAGACGCTTCTGCGACCAGACGAGATTTCGCTTTCGAAAGTCTCGGAAGGTATTCCTGAATCTCTTAAGAAAGTTCTTGGAGGGCTAGAACCGCCCACCTGGTACGACCTTGTGAGTTTGCCACTGATCGATACCAACGACGCCGGCGTGTACGCAAGGCTTGCGATCTCTCAACATGAGTTTCAGATGGCAAGTGATCGCTATCTTTATATTGGGTCGGCAAGCAAATATGGTGGTGGTTTGAACTGGAGGATTGCTGACCACACAAGAAAGATGAAGCCCAAATATGAGTCAAGACTTCAACGTGATACTTCTCAATGTTCTCGACGGTCTGGGATCACTAGTAGTTTTGCTTCATCGCCGCCTTGCGGAAGCCTCATCTCAGCAGGTCATCCATAAAGGGATATCACCGGAGGGTTAATCACGAGTGGCGTCTCCGAAGTGCCCCACTCCCAGTAGTCACATCCCCACAGTCAGTGGCTTTTGCACAGACCCGCTCCGCACGTGCTACAGTCCGAACTGAACGACTATCCCAAGCGTTATGTCAGCAGTTCCACTCGTGCAAAACCACTTAGGTAGACCCGCACATCATGTGTGTGTGTAGATGCATTGATGTAATGCCGAGTTATGCTACCATTGTTACAGTATGACAATGTCACATAGGCTACTGTACTGTCGCATGGTTTGGCGCTGACTTTGTGGACGAGGAGAGATGGGAAGGACTCTCGCATCCTGTCTCAGCTTTTATGCCTACAAGGCAAATGAAGCTACGAACAGTAGGTATAGGTGGGCGGCTGTAAACAACGCTAGTGTGACGTGGCAGTCACTCTCATGACAGATGAGGTACGACAGGCAGGAGCACCGCAAACTGTGACACAAGTGATATCACGATGTTGGAAGAGCTTCGAGAGCTCAATTAAGGACATCAGAGACGTACGGAGTCATATTCTATCCCTGGTTGAGGGTCTCCGTGTTGAGTTGTGCGGCCTCGTGCCAGTGCCCGGATAGGCTCATGAATCTACATTAGCTCGCACCTGGATAGAGTACAAAACAAGCGATGAGCACACAGTGCTCGAAAGTCTTGAAGCCTCATTGTCGTGCGTCGCAGCGAAAGCACAAGCTATATGTCGCAATCTCGTCAGAGCTTAGGACGAGATGGACTGTAGTCGTCTATGGACGCCCGTCAGGAACTCGTCCTCATCGATACACTGGAAGGGCCTCTCTTCGTCCTTGTCGTCGAGGCCGACATTTCCGTACGGGCCCTTACCGCTAGGTCCCATATTCGCCGGCCAAAGTCCGTTAGACGAGATTTGCGCCAGAGCAAAATCACCGTGAACCAAGCCGAATCCTGGCTCGAAGATGCACTTGACGAAGAAAACTTCCACGTAGATGTCTCGAGGCACGCAGCTTTCTGCGCCCCGGCGGACAAGGCCACGAGCCGCCTGGAGTAAAGCTTGCAAGGCATCAGTTGCTGCAGGTGTCGGAAGGTTTCCTTCGTATCCACAGATATGCAGCGCGCGCACCTGGAGATCACCATTGAACCTAGCATCCTCGCGAGTAAAGAGATCTGCACACGCAGAAGGAAGTGAGATGGACAAGGTTCGTAGCCTGGCGCAGGATCTGAGCGTGTCGCAAAGATGTTCACAGCGGCTCGAAGATCCGACATGAGGGTATCGAAAGCCGTGCTGCGACAGTGGGCTATGTTCAAGCACCCGGAGTGTATCTCGCGATGCTTTCACAATAGCCATGACACCCTCAATGGTAACGTTGGAAGTGCACGTGACATGGAACTCTTCCAGGTGGGTCGCCGTACGAGCAACAGCAGACAAGTCGTGGTCAGTAATGGGCATAAAGGTGGTATCGCCTAAGAGTTTCAATCGCCGCAACTGGCTGAGATCGAGTGACTGTAATGGTTCAAAGATGATATGGTTCCCTCTCTCGGCAGCCTGCTGGAACGTCGGTTCGACACATTGGAACTCCAATGACTCTAGCGACCCGCCTCTACCTGGGACTATAGTCCGCCATGTTTTCGAATCTAGATACCGGATCGTGGTCCACGGAATCGACATAGACGCAAGCTGCCTGCAATTTCGCAGCAGATCAGCTATCAGGCGGTTTGTTTCAGGAGTGTAGAAACCTTGGAACCACATGCGCTTGACTTTGGAAGCCAGTTCAGGAAAGTCGTTGAAGGTTTTGATTGTTTGCTTGAGCGAAGCAAGCGGATCTCGATACACGGCAGTACCGGTGGGTCTGTCGATGAGCTCATAAAGCAGATAGCTCGATCGCCGGTTTGAGAGCTCCGCCCATCGCTGTAGGACCATGAGAAAAGCAGGCGACTAGTAGCATTCGCAGATGTACTTACCTCTCCTCCTTTGTAGCGGTTGATGGAAACACTCCTGAGGGCGTATTCTATAGCCCACTCGTGCCATTGCCAGCACACTCGGCGTATGCCAGACGTTGCATCCCACCTGAGCATCTCCGGTTGGATAGGCCCTTTCACATAGCGTTGCACGCTGGCTTTTCGAAGGGGAACCGGGACTTGAGTCAGACCGAAGGTGTACATAGGCCCATCACGGATGTTGCTCTCAACAACCTCCTCAAGGATCGTGGAAACGATCTCGAACGGAAGCTTTTTGATGTGCATTGTAGGACAGTGAGCAGGCGGACAGCAATGACATATTAGCAGTAGCTTGGTTCATTTATCTGACAATGAGTTGCATCATTGCAGACATATACGAACCACGTGGGTTCGCCAAAACTGCTAGGCTTCGGGAGTGCGCGGGAGAGATTGCTCTCAAGCCAGACACTTTGCCTTCTCAGAACATGCAGAATCTTATCAGAACATAGCGCAAACGGTTAGTAAAAACCACAAGGATCACAGATGTTGATACAGGAGTACTTAGCTGCAATGGGTGTCTTCTGGAAAGATAAGAATTTGAGGACATTGGCGGTCGCACGGTTTTGACCTGACGAGGATGAAGACAGATGTACAAGCGTCTTCGTATATGGTAACAAAGCCTACATCAGGTCTTTAAGGCGTGACGATACTGTAGCGAAAGAGAAAAGAATACTATGACTCTCGCAAGTCCTCTCAATCCAGGACTCACAGTACCGTTTGAAACGCTGTTGTCAGTTGCTGTGTCAGACACAGCTTTCCTTGTTCTTTGCTTTGTTTGACTCGTGTACACTCGCTTGCACAATCGGCTTCCGGTATGTGCACAGCGCAAGTTACTCATCTTACAGGGCCCCCGGCCTCGCTTAGCGTTGAACTTTCCTCTATTAGCGTTAGTCTACCTGTCCATGATCACAGTTGGGAACAGTCAAGTACGGTATACTTGCAAATCTCAGAATTTTTCGACACAAATCTCCAAATCAAGTAAATCAAGTCCAGACCCAGATTTTTGCAGTAAATCAAGTCTTGGCGGTGGGTTTGATTTGAAGATTTGAAGGATTTGGATAAATTTGATTCGTTGCTTTAGTGTTGTGGGTGCGTTGAGGCGTGCTATGTGCTAGGCGTCGGAGATGCCTGATTCTGTACCGTGTCCGTGCGCGTACAGTAGCGCAGTGCATGACATCATATAATGCGCCTAATAGCATGAGGTTTGAGCTCAATTACCACACACGATCAGTGGCAATGTCTAGAGTGATATTTGGCTCGCGAACGCATTCGAATCTGTAGCGGCGTCGGCCGCTGTACTGTACTGATAGCTACGATAGACGATAACGTAGGACTATCGGGTCAATGGAATACTGCTCTGTATTGTTATGTAGCTAGGAAGAGACGACTATATACCTGATCTGTACCACACTAGTCCAGGGTGGTCGATCAGGGGTAGAGTGGCCTTGTACGGTCCAACCGATACCGCAACAAAATCTCGTGAACGATCTGCCGAACAGATGTCAGCGCTACCACGTGGGGGGTTTGAGGACTCAGTGTTGCAAACACACTGCACAATCCAGCAATATGGTTTGCTCTTACAGTACTGGAGAGACCCAACAGCTCTAGAATATGATGGCATCTTATCTTACCCTTCGAGATCCGTGTGTTTCATCAAGGCTGATCGTGTCAATGACTACAGCAGAGGCAGCACATGTGAAAGATCCACAATCGCATCCCGCTATAGCAGTACCTCCACTTTCACCTACTCGAGGCAATTTGCAACTCCACATTTATAACAGAACCTTTCAACGACCGACTTCACGTCCATGTCTGTCCCAGATGCAGGGCCACGGGAAAATGGCTACGCAGCCGACCTGCAGATCTTCCGTCGCACCTTTGATTGCGGTCATCTTGATGAGTTCATCGAAGTACGACTGCTTGAAGGCGGAGAGAAATTGCATAATATAAACACACTCGAAGTGTTCAAGGAATACAATAGAGCTGAGAACTGCCCAGTGAGCATCAAGGCGCGATGTCTGAACTGCGCAAGAAAAGCGAAAGACGAAGACGACAGAGACCAAAGGGTACGACCAAAGAAAACACTGGGCGCGTACCAAGCAGGCACATCATCCACGTATGCAAGAAAGACTGGTATAATCCCCCAGGGCGGGTTTGAAGGTATCTTAGAGAGGTACAGATATTCAAATAGTCAGGGCACGGCCGTAAAACCTCATCCAGGCGTTTCGGAAGAGGCGTATCGAGCTCACCGCCTTGAAGTTGAAGCAGAAGCTGCAGCATACCCTGGCAAGTGGCTAGCGATTCCAGCAAGAAGAGTTGAATCAGCGATGCACCGGAGGAACATGTCTCGCTTGTTTGGAGAAGAGAACAACGAACCGCTCCAGTCCAACATAGATGGCGACAACGGCAGCGCTCAAGGTGGTGTACTCCCACAAAGCAGGAAAGATGGCGAATCATCCGGTCTGTGTTCTGAGCTAGAAATGGTGGAAGGCAAAGATACCGGAGACGTTACCATGATAAAAGCTGAAATTGACCCTGCCAAAGGTACCAACTGTTTCTTTCTCGCGCTCCCGTCAAAGAGCGAAGATGAGAGATTCCGACCGGTTGCCATGAACATGAGGTCCTTATCGGGATTGAAATTCGATAGGCAACGAAAGCTTCTCGACGCGGCTGACTTCATTGGGAAGAACAGCGACGGCACCCCCTCGAGTCGTGCGACGGAATTACATTGCCCTCAGACCGCCAATAGCTCTGCTTCATCGGCAAGAGAGGCCGCTGTCATGGAGGACTTGATCGACCAGTGTACCTTATATCTCGAAAATCACTTTGATCCAGCCCTTGTAGATACGAGGTACGAGAAACCACGACCTTACCCCACCGTGCCCGAGAGAGGTACGCTGGACTTTATGACAAGAGCGTCCACCAGGTCTGAACCATTTTCGAGGAGGGAGTCAGGCAATGAGAGTCCAGACTGGGCCTGCCAAACCTCCTTGGCCATTGAGACTGGAAGAATTTCTATGGATAGTGTGAGCATGCAAGATCGGGAGTCGATATCGTCGAAACACATTGGAAGCGATGCGTAGCCCCACCAAACCATAGCGCAGGAAAGTGCAGGGTGTCAGACCAGGAAAGAGGCGCGTGATCTGCTCATCGCCTTCCAGTGAATACAGCTCAGTTCTTTCCGCGGCAGGTACACATTCAGAAGGCGCATTACAGACTGTGCGAAAATGTAACGGTCTATGAAGCCTTCTGAACTCTAGGGTTAAGAAGGTCGACCTTTTTGACCGCGACAGAAAAGCAAGCGCTGCTCGTCCGGTAGGAAAGCTCGAGAGAACGGAAAGCGTGATGCAACAAGAGCCACCTAGGCGTGACAATACGCAGGTGCTTCGCTAATGGACCTGAACAAGAGCCTGTCTGCCTTGAATTGGCAAGAAAGCGGGAAAGATGGCGAGGAATGAGCCGGGTCTAGATGAAGGGGACCAGGGCGAGCCGCTACCGAGCCTAGAAGGGTATAATAGCTTGGCAATCACATAGATTTATAAATTTGTGTGATTTACTGCCTGACTCCAGTGTTCTGAAGCTAGCGATTTGCATCATTGATGTCTAGAATTAGACCGCAGGCAAACAAAGGCTGTTCCAACACGCTGCACCTCGAGTGACTGTCGTGCAATTTAAAATGGCAACGGCTTCTTGACCCCAAATACGCATGATATAAAAAGGCCCGATTGCTTACTGGCCGCAGAATATGCTGCTAATAGGCACCGCCGCTCCGCTTCCGCTCATGATCATAGCGCTGCTACTATTGAATGTTTTGATTACGTCCTGTGTAAGGACAACACAGCGGACTAGTGCAAGCGGGAAGAGCTTAACGAGATTTGAAGCTTGTTCGTTTCCTGTGAAGCCAAGCTGGTCAGTGATTCCCGTGGCTATGAAAGAGCTGGCGATTTCTGGTACAGCATTCTCTGCAGAGATCACTCCTGCTATCTGGTTAGCTTCGGAGCAAGCTGGATAAATAACTAACGTCCCTGGCGAGAAATGTCCCGGCCTCCTCATCTCTGCGTCTGAGCAGTTAGCGAACAGCGGCAGAAAGAATTCCTTTGCGGGAGACCCATTGCCTTGCCCTGCAGTGATTGATACGGCTGGGATGCCATCAAGCAAGCAGTTGTACTTTCTTTGCCCAATCACAGGGAGTGGGAGTAACAGATAAAGCAGTGTAGTTTTCATGCTGCGTTGTTATTATCTGCGATGTGATCTGTGTTTGGAGTAGGCAGGCTTCTTAAAGAGAACAGTGCATCCATCGCTTACTAAGGTTTTGATAAAGTTGGGTCCCAAAACCCTGCCCATGGAACAGGCTTCTCAGCTCGCTACTTGCTCTGTGACGTCCAAGCTTTGAGTCTGTTGAAGGGTTCAGATGTTGTCGGGATTCGTGGACAGTACGCATGTGGGAAGAATTGAAGGATTAAACTGACTATTCTACATGCTACGGAGGGAGCTATACATAAGGAAATGTCTACGTTGACGTTGTGTAGCTGTCAACATGTAGTCGTGCGACGTAGCAACCAATCAGCAGATAAGCGCCTATGCGGCCGACTGCAAGGAGACACCTCAACCGTGACAGATGTTGATTGATCTATCTGGTGAGCTATGGTGAGGATCGATCGGGACTATATAGTAGAAGGGGATAGCAGTGAACGGATGGGGAAGCAAACTGACTAACTGAATTAGCTGGACAATCAGTGCAGCGGACTGTTGGCGAACAATATTGAAGAACTAATCTGCTTGTGTACACCTGCAATGCTCAACCATAGCACCTCAACGCATCGTCTACGGAGGGTATTGCTCTTGGTCGGTTATGTGTCCATGAAGATTTAGGCAATATCCAGTTGTACAAGCATCTCATCGTTGTCGTGCTCCACCCACTGCTCACCCGCTGCTCACCCGCTGCTCACCCACTGCTCACCCACTGCTCACCCACTGCTCACCCACTGCTCACCCACTGCTCACCAGCTGCTACCAAACGTATCACTTAAGTCGTTCGCTCAGCAATCCACCAACACATCATTTCTTTATATTTTTCCCGTTTTAGAGAAACACAACTTAAATCCAATCAACGGTAGTACTTGCAACTGTTCCGCATTCGCTATGTATTAAACGATGGATTGATTTCTTTGTGTGACGGTTTATGGAGTAAAGCAGTTATGTCTGCCACGTGTGCTGGTGCAGTGCTCTTGCCTGTTCCAATAGCACTTCCTGTCTGCACGACAGATACGTCATGTAAACAGACCCCGCTGGGGGTCGAGTGAGGGAGACAGAACACTGAACAACAACACAACAGAATATACCTGATTTTACTGCCTCGCGCGGTTACCCCTGACTTACTGCCCTGCGCGGTTACACCTTCTGTTGAAGTGAGTGGATTGTGTTGGTTGATCTTACGAGCTATTGGCTAGAATCGATCGAGACTATATAGTAGAATGGGATAGCAGTGAAGGGTTGGGGAAGCAAACCAAGCTAACCCAATGAGCTGGACGATCAGTGCAGTGGGCCGTTAGCAAACACTGCAACGGACCGCTAGCAAACACATGGCGATCGGTGGATACCTTCACTCCCTCCGACAATAGCACCTCAATCTTAGAAGATGCTTGCGGATTTTTAGAATGTACAGTCCCTGCTGAAGGACACTCCGAGTTTATCCGCAGAGGTAGTCAAGATCGCGAGTCTGAGAACGAGGGCGCAGCGCGCTTATGTAGTTGTGTATTGTACACTTAGCGGCCTGCATTGAACACCTGCGCTATGCTAGATAGTCGAGCTGTGGCGCATGCTTCTAGAAGCTTCTCCCTGCGCGTGTACAATCACAGTCGCTTGCGTGCTATTCTTAGAAGTTGGGAGTGTGAGCCCACTGGCCTCTTGCTCATTCCTCCTGCACACCCACTGTCGCTGCGATGGACGCAGCCAGTCGAGCGCTGGCGCTGGCCCTGCCGGCAGATGTAGCTGATACATTTGCTAATCGGTCAGAGTATGGCAACGCTCCCCTCTCCACTATTATTCACCGTGATCATGGACGACGCTCGCGCGAGGAGCAAGCCGAAAGCCAGCAGTACCTGAGTCGGGAGGAGGAGATTGCCCTTGTGAGGTTCTTGCTGCTCAAGTCCAACCTTGGGCAACCTGTGCGCATCAAGTTCATACGCTCGCTAGCCTTCAGTATAGCACGTCAACGAACATCTGGTAATCGACTGACGAAGCCCTGGGCAAGAACTGGCCGAAGGCCTTCGAGAAACGGCACCCCCAACTCCAGGCTAAAAGAGTCCGATCGATCGACTGGAAGCGCCATAGCAATAATATACATGAGAAGGTCGTGGAGTGGTTCGACATGATCGCACCGGTACTGCAGGACTCGAGCGTCGTGCCAGAAAACGTCTATAACATGGATGAGACAGGAGTCATGCTGAGCATGCTTGGCTCAGTCAAGGTTCTAGTAGGTAAAGATGATCGGTAGAACAACAGAGGTGCTGGTGTGAAGCGAACCATGGTGACGGCGATCGAATGCATAAGTGCTGACGGTAGGGCCCTGCTACCTCTGATCATCTGGCCTGCTTCGACTCACCGAAGCAACTGGACCACATACAAGACAGATGGATGGCACTACGCACACTCTGAGAACGGATACAATGATTCCAAGATCAGCCTGGAGTGGCTCACACGCGTGTTCGATCTGCAGACTAGAGAGCGTGCTAATGGGAAGCCACGTGTTCTTGTGGTCGATGGCTTTGGGACGCATGAAACCCTTGAGATTCTGGAGTTTTGCCTGGCGAACAACATCATCTTGTGCTGTCTCCCCTCTCATACTTCCCACAAGCTCCAGCCGTGCGACGTTGGGCCCTTCGCTCCTTTGAAGACAGCATATTGTGACCAGGTCGAGAGGCTGAACCGTGGAGGCGTGGACACGGTTGGCAAAGAGCACTTCACCTACTTGTACAGCCCTGCACGAGACAGGGCTATGACCAAGAGAAACATCTGGGCTGGATGGGCAGCAACGGGCTTGTTTCCCTTCAACCCAGAAAGAGTGCTGAAAGACATTCCAAAGCCCCCCGCTGACCTTGTCATTCCAAGAAACGATGACGCGGCCAGACCCTGTCCGTCAGCTGACGTGGTGCACACACCTGTCACGCCCGTGACTCCAGTGACAACCGAAGCACTTACAACATTGCATGACATGATCAAAGACGACACTCGGACGCTTGATAAGGCTAGCAGGCAGGGTGTCCAGAGACGCATACAGAAGCTCGCAAGTGCCGCCCGCATATCCTTCGCCGAGCGAGCTCTTCTCCAAGACCACAATCGCTTCCTTTTCAAGATCAACAACGAAGCCAAAGTCCGCCGATCCACCAAGTCGGTTGTCTTGGGGAAGGCAAAGGTGATGAGTTATGAGGACCTTGAAGCGGCACGAGCGAAGAGGGCT